GGGAGTTTGAACAAAACATTGGCAAGGAAAGAGAACATCAAATAGGCTTTCCCCTAGTTCCTGCACCCAAACTGCTTTTGGTTTTAAAAAAGCAAAGAAGTGAGCAAACACTGGAAGCCTGATTCATGTGTCTCCCATGGCATGTTGACCTAGATCCTGCAAAGGCAATACTGCTTGATTGGCACTGATCTTGTTACAGAATCTGTTCACCTGTGAAAGAAGCAGAGGCACAGCAGGGGTAGGGGGACATGTCCCTCCTAGCCAATATAGTCAGTGTCAAGGAATCATGTGAGATGCAGTCCAGGAACATCTGGACAAACACATCCCCCATCTCCACTGTACACAAAAATACCCCATCTTGGCTCAGAAACTGTATGGGGAACAGAACACCCTCTAAAAACCCCTAAGATGACCACCTTAGATTCTGTTTATGTAGACATTTGAAAGACACAAATAGAAATGGATCTAAAATGTGTCCACTCCATACCATACATATACGATCACATCTTGAGCCCAGTCTGCTGCGCCACTTTTTCCTTCCCATCCAGACTAGTAGAAATGAATTTCACAGTATCCCTGTGAGAGATATACAAGATCACTGTGGAATATTCAATTTATGCTTATAGGTTACTTTGCTCCCAAACACACAGTCTATCTGGTTTCAAGTCTTCAGCTTTGTTTTGTCTCCTGCATTCCACTTCAGCGTGTAATTGCTGAGGGGGGAAAAAAGAGCTATCATACAGATACCCTGCAGAAAGTTTCCAGAATGATTTTCAAACCACTTCAATTAGGATATGGGAAATCCAGGTTCAATTCTTCACTGAACCATAAAACTCACCGGATGACCTTGAACTAGTCACTCTCTCTCAGCCTGCCTCACAGGTGTGTCATGAGAGCCAAAGATACTGAACTATAGTGATTGGTGGTAAGATGGGACATAAATGTAACTAATAAACTGTTTTTCTATAGTGATTGGTGGTAAGATGGGACATAAATGTAACTACTAAACTGTTTTTTTAAAATATTTATTTATTTATTTATTCATTTACTTGTTATATTGCCGGTGGTAAGATGGGACATAAATGTAACTACTAAACTGTTTTTTTAAAATATTTATTTATTTATTTATTCATTTACTTGTTATATTGCCTTATTTATTCATTCATTCATTCATTTACTTGTTATACTGCTCCTCTAGTGAATATTCTACTTTGGGTGATTTACAAATAAAAATTTAGAATTCCATATACCCTATAAAACAATACAACCAGTATGGGCGGGTGCACTGATGCAGATCTAAACTCAATACTGAAAGAAAGAAAAAGATGAAAGCACAAAAAGAAGAAAAATTAAACAGTAATATTACCAGCATCTGGGGGATACGTTATTAAAGGCGCTTAATATAATTCTGACTTCACTAATTTCCTGAATATCAGGAGAGAGGGAGTCTGGCTAAATACTCACAACTATCTCATCCTGTCCCACCAGTTACAGTGGTGCCTCGCTTTACGATTGCCCCGCATTACGACGAAACCACATTATGACGATCTTTTTGCGATCGCAATTGTGATCGCAAAACGATGGTCTGAATGAGGTTTTTTTGCTTTGCAATGATCAGTTCCCTGCTTCCAGAACCGATTCTTTGCCAAACAAAGATTTTCCTACAGCTGATCAGCGCTTTCAAAATGGCCACCGGGTAAATAAAACATCTCCTCACTATTTTCTGGGACGGATTCCTCACAAGACAGCCACCAAAAATGGCCACCCTATGGAGGATCTTCGCTGGACGGTGAGTTTCCAGCCCATTGGAACGCATTTGAAGGGGTATCAATGCGCTTCAATGGGCTTTTTATTTTCACGACGTTTTCGTTCTACAGCAATTTCGCTGGAACGAATTAACATCGTGATGCGAGGCACCACTGTATATGCATACCCTTGTTGAAGCTTTTTAAACTGTAAAGGTTCATATTGGTGAGGCTGGAGCTTAACGGTATGAGAGGCAGAGGTCCCAGGACTAATGTGCTTGAAACAGACCACATCTATTGACTGGTGATGAAAAGGCTTTTAATGGATGAAACGCAGGTGTGGGTCCATTTTTCCACACAACAGAATTACACACCGGTATTGTGGTCATGCACAAATGAACAAAAGTAGCACAATCACCCAGAACATTAACCATGATTACTAAGAAGTCAGCTGCACTGACCAAAGTGATTATTTGTTCTTCTGCCAGGTTCAGCTACAAATCCCTGCTCACCTATGATGTACACACACTATCTCTTGTTGTAAAATGAAGCAAACCACTTGTGCCACCCTGAAAATGTGGGACTTTGAAAGAAATGCAAAGACACGTATGATTAAAATACTAGAGGGATATACTTAACTTGGTTCCTTCCTCAGAAATGTGATCTTGATTGCTTGTATACATGGGAATCAAATAAACATGCAGTCATAAAGAGTGCCAAGATGGCACACAGTTAAGGCACGTACCAAATATCCATCCCTTGCTTGGCACCATCTAGTCTGATGAAAAGTTTTGAGAAAGAAAGAAAAAACCAAATGGTGCAGAACCAAAAACTGTAGCATAGCCATAGCTCAAAGGGCTGAAGCATTGAAACTTTTTTCTTAGTAGGGACTGTGATCTGGCACTCTGCTCATGCTCAGGCTTTCTTTTTTCCCTCTGAATGTAACTCCAGTTCTCACCATAAAGAATTAGGTTCTCCCCCACCCCCATCAGCAAGAATAAGTTGTTGCAACCTATCTCTGGTGTAATGCACAGTATTTTAGTGTGTTTTGATCTTGAAGAAGCAATGAAGAGAAATTGGCTTTACAAAGGGCCTACTCCCGGTGGAGATGAAAATGGTTATTGCTGCTTTCTTGATTAGAATCAACGTAGCTCTCTGTTTTCATGTAATCCCCTTGGAGGTACGGTTGTGGGATTGTCGTGACAAATAGTTGCACTTTGCAATCTGCCTCACGAGCCACTGGCACAATCTTCTGGGACATTTTTGGTTCATTGTATCATTGTGGATTTATTAAGACCAAGTCAGGTGAAACATTACAAGTTACAAACAAAACATCCCTAAACCCATTCCCTAACCAGCAAAAATGAAATATCAACATGCTCTTTAAAATAATATAAGGCCGAACGCTCTTATCAACATGAAATAAACAAAGAGCTAAATGCAGTTGTAAGTTCCAATTAGAGCAGACCCACTGAATGACTGGGACATGTAAAATCAATGTTTATCTAAGTCTCATTGATTTAATAGATCAACTCTACTTGGATTTAACCCTTGGGTTTAGCCCATTGCACTGAAGAACCTCTTCAGTTCTCAAGAAATTTTTGCCTTCTTTTCCCATTAATTCCACAAGCTTATTATCCTGTTTTTGACTTTAAAATGATTAGTTAAGGTATTTTCTCTTGCCATCATAATTTTATGTCCTCATTAAAGTGCTCTGCTGAGTTAGCGTAATCTGAGGAAGCAATTGTTTTGGCAGCAGCAAAAATGTGAGGTGGAATAAACAAACATGCATTATAGCCCAACAACACAAGTAGAGAAGAAATAGCATATGGTTAAGGTATGATGAAAATCGGAAAGACTTGGTGTGTGTGTGCTAAGAATGTCATTGTATCATCTCATATTTCTTCTATTCTGAAACATCCCAGTTTTCACCATCTCTGCTCCTGAAGGAGAATGGGTGTGTGTTTCACCTCTCACAATACTCAGACTTCGTTCTCTGGAGTAGCTATGCAGAATTCAGTGGCACTCTGGTTTGACAAATTCAGCAGTCTCTAAATCTCAAATATAAAGACATTCACTTGGAAGCAAATGCTGCTGATTTCAATGGGAATCAGTTTTCACATTCAAAATACTTAGGATGTAAAAGTCTGCAACTAGTCCCTCCTAACTTTCTGCAAATGAAGAAAGCCGAAAGGCATACAAAGCTGTCAAGAGAGAAATAAGGGTTTAAAATAAAAGAGGAAGACTTCAATTTTGGTGTTATCCAATTCATTATTTATAGGATGCAGCCTATTTGGAAAAGGCATTAGAGTTAGCTGAGATTATCTTGAATTCAAACATATTTAACGCATGCAACAAACACACTCTCTAGCTGTTGGTCTGGAAAACAATCCTTTTAGCTTTCTGAAAAACACAACGATTACTAATTGATAACTTTCTTAAATGGGAGGTATGGTGAGGGTGGGGCAAAATGGTAAGGCTCAACCAAAGCATGCAAGAAAAGAAAAGCTGTGTTGCAAAATGCTAGCTGAATATGAAGCACGGAAGTTCAAGATTTTGAAAACTACCCCCATTCTACAAACCATTTTATTCCAAATGGCTCTTGAAAGCCAGCAAATTAGGCTGCAACTGGAGAGTCTTATTGCTCAATCCACTTATTGCCCCAGCTAAATCAGACCACCATGAATGAATGGGATTATGTTAAGGCAATACTTCCTTAGCCCTTAGTGTCTAATGACTTTTTAAAAGGAGTTTCTAAGAAGATCACAACAACACAACGTATTTTCCCCTAGCAGTTTTTCACCTGCCCGCGCTGAATCCTCTGAGCCACAACACTTGGAGGCTTCTGTTTTCACCTAGGAGACGTTAAGTAAGATCTACCGAGGCACCGTCATCACACGAGGGCTCTTCTCTCCCATTAGGCGCTAGAGCGGTCTAGGCAAACCCCCCCCCCAAAAAAAGGAGGCACGGAAGGGTACACCAAAGCCCATCTTCACCGCTCTCCTCCCGCCTCTCGCAGGTACACCGGGCAGCCGGAACAGGGGAGGGTCCCACGGCGCTCAAGGGCTCCTTCCTTGGGCTTTCCAATAAAAATCAATACGAAAGATCCGGGCAGAAGCGTCCAAGGTGTCAACCAGGGGCCGGGAAAGGTGGTGCGCTCCAGAGCTGGAACTACATCTCCCACCAATCGTCATCATAGGGTGGGGTTGATGAGAGCTGTAGTCGGAGCGAATCTAGAGGGTCGCGCTTCCCTACCTGATTTAAACGGTGAGCAGCGGAACAGGACGCATAAAATCAACGCCGGCGGAGGGGAGGGGACCGGACCGGCGCGATGGCTACCCGGCAGGGAGGTCAGGGGGCGAGGGTCCAGGCATGGCGGGGGCGGGCGCCTCGCTCTTTTGGCGGGTCCTCCGCAGTTGGAGGCGACTTTTTGGCGCCCCTTCGGCTTCTTCCCACCGCCCTCGGCGAGGGAGCGTCGCCTCTGCTTCCCCTGGCCGAGCCGCGCTGCCCTCACTCGGCTAAAGCAGCGGCGTGGCTTGTCCAGCTCCGCCCGGCGAGCGGTCCCCTCACTGGAAGTTTGCGCCTGGAAGGGCGGCAGCGGCAAGAGCGAGGAGCGGCTCTCCGCCGCTCACCTGCCAGAGCCCGCCCTGCTGCTGAGCGCCGACGCGAGAGGAGAATGTGGGATGGAGGGAGGGAGGGACGGAGGGGAGGCGAAGGCGGGAAAAGCAACCCTGCCTTCACAGGACGGGGCGAAGGAGCGCCCAGGGTGGCCGAAACAGCAGTGACTCTGAACGTGTGTGACTAGAGGCCTTGGAGTACCTGCTGGCGACATCCTGCCGGAGGATCAGTGTGGCAGAGTGGATGCCCTGTCAGACTGAGACTCGGGGCCCTGGATTCAAATACCCCGCTAGGCCATGGAAACTCAAGTGGCCAGTCGCAGTGGTCAACCAGACCTAAGACATCTCACCTACCTCATATGAGGCTCGCCTAAAACAGAGGTGTCTTGTGAGCCCACAGCAACAGTGCCCAAGGCCATTCTGCCATATAAAGTCTGGGCAACACAGACAGCCTTGCTTGGGGGTGAACCAAAGGAGGAGGAGAAGGAGGAGGGGACTCCCTGCTGTGTAGAGTTTATGCCAGGAAGATCCATGGACCTGTTCGCTCCCTCTCTGGAGGATGGATTAGGGACGAGAGGGAAGGATTGTCATCACTCATAAATCCCACAGATACATGACCCTGCCTTCTCATTCACATGGGAACAAATTATACAGCCCAGATCATCCCAGAGTGCAGGACAAATAATAACAGGCTTCAAGGTGGTGTGCCCTCTGACACTGGATGCATTCAAGAGAAGATGAGACAACAATCTGTCAAATATACTTTGATTTGATTTCTTGCATTGTGCAATATGGTTGAACTTGATGGCCTTATAAGCTCCTTCCAGCTCTATTATTCTATGATAATCCAGCGCTAGTGTGTACACAGTGTGTAACTGGTTGGCCCCTTGCTCTTTCAGGAAAAGGAGTTTGCTCATGCAGAAAAGCCAACAGAACAGAAAAGAGGCCAAGTTGCAGCCAAGAATTAGAGAACAGGCAACTGTGGCCCAGGATAGGTGGAAGCAACCGCAAAGGTGTTAGAAAAGAGGATGAGGTAAAATGGGCATATACAGACAAAAGCAGCTCTTTCCAGCAGGAAGAGTGGAGGCAAGAAGCTCAGCTGCTAAGATAGCAATGCTGGAGAGAAGCCTCATCTGCCCAAACCCTGGAATTACCTGATGCTCCGACAGGGCCATTGACAACAAGATTCCTATCCTTGGTTGGGTGAGAAGCAGAGGGGCTCATAGACCAAGATTGGGGACACCCTTCCCTCAAATTTCAGGAGGGCTGTCCCCACCCCACCCTAGCTATCATGTGAAGCTGACAAAAGCCAGTGTTTCCATTCCAAAAAAGAGCTGCAAGAGAGAGCCAGTGTGACCCTCGTGTCTGGCCTTTCTACCTGTATGTTCCTCATGCCCAGAATTAAGAACTTAAAGGTAGGCTTCCTCTAGTGCTGGAATTAGAGGGCTAGAACATTATTTCTGTAATAATCAGGTGTTTTCCGTTCAACGAAAGGCAGAGTTTTAGGTAAAGCCAGTACATAAACTCCTGTATATCTGCTATACATATCTTGTACATTATGGTCAGGGTCTGATAGGAGTAAAGACAACCCTGCCTTGACAGCACAAAGTGGTGTGTCAAATCTTTTCTTCACTCCCCACTCATGCATGCCCTGGAATATGCTGGTTTATGATGCAGGCATGAGGTGCCTTTTTGCATGCCTTTTTATTAACAAAAAGCGTATGCTGTGTTTCTAGAAAAACAACATGTGACAGCCACGAAGACGTTTTGCTTGGACTTTCCTTTGACATGCAGCAGAGGGAATCTCTGCAGGAAATTTAAAGTTTGTCTGTTTTTGAGCCTATCTTTGTATGTAATAAAAAAATCCAACACTGCAGCCAGAAGAGTGTGTAGCTGTAGTATCTCATAATGAACAAAATGAAACAGGAAGCCTACTTCCTGCCTTTCAAACCCTGCTAAATTATTGTATTTATATATGCTTGAATTAATATCCCATGGGATTCCACCTCCTGAGCTGTGCTATAGTTCTAGCCCACCAGCTCCCAAATCAGTTTAGCTACTTGATCATTATGTATTTTTCTTCCTAACCTTGAGAGGCATTGAAAAAGCAATGGTACTTACAAATATAAAAGATATATCCAAACAGCATTTCAAATGAGCTGTAACGCTTATTCTAGGTCATGAGGGCTGACCAATCATCAGAATCAAAGTACAGTGAGAATAGGTAATTGCTTGCATTTCAGAGTGCCTTTTCCCACCTACATTCTTACAATTGCCTTCATGTTCACCTTCTGTGGGTGATTTGAGACTGGGACAGGAGGGGTGCAATCCCCTAAAGTTGGCACCACTCCTGTCTGCACAGTCTATGGGCCACCCCGGAGTACTTCCGTAAGCAGGGTTTACATGCTTATTCAGAAGTGTTCTGTGTTGATTTCACTATTCTTCTCTTTAATGGGGCTTTTTTTTTCTTAAGGATAGAAGAAGCCATGAAAAAACAATGGAGGATTAGAAATGGAAGACAAAATTTGTTCATAAAATAGTATATGAATGATGTTTCTTCCAGAAATATCCTTACAATCCATCACATGTACATGCACTCTGTACATATGTGCTAAGAACTAAATTCCCATGGAATTCAATGCAGCTTATATGCATGAAAGATGATACAGAACTGCAGTCTTTTTGTGTGATTTAGTCTGTTATGTAAGATGCGGCAATGTCAGAGCATCTGTTCCATTCAAGGCTGTCCCAGACTCTTGCCAGCAGAGCAGAAATATTGGATAAGTCAATTATTGGCTTTCTCTTTTTTGCATATGGGCATAGCTTTTACTTTCAGTGGGGGGAAAAAAACCATTGCTAGGAAATACAAGAGGAAAGAGGCAGATTAAAAGAAGCTGAACAGGCGTAGGCCCACTTCCAGGGGAGGTCCTCTAGTAATCTTCAGCTGCTTTATAAGGCAGAGGAGGACCAGATGGAGACATTTGCTGATTCCATCCTCCCTATATGGATTTGGACTGAGAAATTAACGTGCTTAAGGGGTAACTTGTAAGCAGTCACAATTTGTGACATTATACATGATGATTCCTGCTCTAAAAGCACATTTGTAAGTGTGAAGGTGTCAACCTTAGCTTTAATTTCCTGACCTTGTGGAGCTTGAACCAATATGAGGTAGTATTAACAATGCAGCTACAAAATATTGCTATTGGAAGGTCTCTGTATTGAACAGAATATAGTTTTGATTACCTCCAACATTTCAGCTTTAAACGGTATGTTTCTGTTTATTCACCTGTTAGAACGCATTATTGAGATCTCTGGATGATTTTGCAGCAGTATCTCTGTTATTTAAAAACTATTCCCACAAGCAGTATTAATCCTATATGTTTTTATTCAGAGGAAATGAGTCACACTAGGTTAAATGGAACTAAAGTTTGTTGTTGCTAAAATGATGCCATGTCGGAACCAACACATTGACTCTAACATGAGACTTCCAAGGTAAGCGAGATATTTAAAGGGTGTTTTTACCAGTTCCACTTCCCCAGTGAGTTTCTGTTGCTGAGCGGGGATTTGAACTCTCCAAAGTCCTATTCTGTCACTCTTATCAGCCTCGTATACGCTGAAATCCTATAGACGCTTAACTGAGAGTACACTAGAACCTTTCTATCTGCAGGAGATCAATTCCACAATCTATTGTAGATGCCTGAAACCATGGAAATGAGGGAACCTTTATATACAATGCATGCCCTTGTATGCTGCACATAGGGGTGCAGCAAACCAAAGATAAATGAAAACTTGGATATCGATCCCACAGATATGGAGGTCCTACTCTACTCTCAGTTAAGTGTCTATAGCAGTAGTTCCCAACCTTTTTTGAGTTGCAACCACCTTTTTACAATAGCCAAATAACCTGTCACCTGCTCCCACCACATTTGCATAAAAATACATTTTTAATAAAGCAAAGTCACCCCTTCTCAAAGAACAGAGGCTTCTTTCTCCCCCAAAGGGGCTATTTCTCATAATACACATACATGCTAACTTTAATATCCAGCTCCAAAAGGTCAAGGAAGAAATTGTTTAGCAAAGGCTATGACACATATAAGGTGACCCACAAATCCCCAGAAAACACTTTGTGACCCCTTTGGGGTCATGACCCCTGGGTTGGGGAACACTGGTCTGTAGAATTTCAGCCCAGATGGGGCAGCTGAAATAACTATTTTGGGAGAGAACATTAGGATTTTTGAGTGAAAGGAAAATAAGCCTAGCTATTCTTTCTTGTTGTTCTTGATTCTCTTGCACTGAAGGATGGATATCAGCTTGCCCATTTTGACTTTGGATGCAACGGCTCTAAATAATGATGTTGGCCACATATTGATCACTCTCCCAGGTTCTGTAGTCTGTAAGTTATCTTCCTCCCTGAACTCCCCCCGCATCTGTTCTACTCTGGATCAGCTGTAACAGGCTACTTTTTTGATTCTCGTTATGTGACTGAAGTATTCTAGCTTTCTATGTTTTATATATTTTTGTAAAATTTTTAACCTTTATTCATGAGCTTTAGTACTTCTTAATTGATAAGGCTTTCAATCGAAGAAATTCTTAGCATTCTGCAATGAGTCCACATTGCAAATGCTTCTCTCTTTTCTAATTGTTGACCTGTGTTCAAATCTAAAATCTCATGTCATACAATAGAACCAAGAATACAAAGCATCACATGTCTCATTGTAGTGTTAATAAATGCCTAGTCTGAGCCTGTACTCAGATGTGCTCTGTTACACCTCCTTGGTGCATTCTTTTGCACTTGACTCTAGTAATGGATCTAAGGGTTATTCTGATGGTAATGGTGATGATGATAGAGTGCCTGATTAACAGCAAAATGTATCTCGTTTTTCTCCACGAGGTACATGGCACTATTCATATTTCTCTGTTCCTTTTTATCATGGCAACCTTGTGAGCTAGACTATGTTGGGAGATAGTGACTGGCTCAAGGTCACCTAGCAAGGCTTCCATCC